TACTGTCACTTTTAACCAATTTAATGCATACATGCTGAATAAAATGATTAATTTCTTTAAAAGTGTATATCCCAAAAATTGTATTTATTTAAAGATTGTATTTAAATTCTAGAATGAATGCTAATCACTCCTCGCCCAAAGCTAAGTGCTTCCTGTCTCTCTCTGCTCCCACAGGAAGCTGTCTGGGGGTCTGGGTCAGCTGACGGATGGTGTGATTGGTCAGGATGACTTTGTACAGAAAAGACTTGACCGGTTGTGGCCCGGATATGACTACGTGGGCTGGAGGAACGACAGCTTGGGCCCTGGATATGTAGAGATGGAGTTCCAGTTTGACAGACAACGAAACTTCACCTCTATGAAGGTGAGAGTGAAGTAGGAATAGAAGTAAACATGACCAGGTTTTTTTTTTTAAACAGAATGCAAAGCTTGTACTTTTGATAAGGAGCAGTAATATTGTGAAATATTATTAAAACCTAAAATAACTGTTTTCTATTCGAAATTAGAATTTCTTTCTGTCATCAAAGCTGAATTTTCAGCATCATTACTCCAGTCTTCAGTGTCACATGATCCTTCAGAAATCATTCTAATATGCTGATTTGCTGCTCAAGAAACATTTATTATTATCATTATTGAAAAGGAAACCATGATACGTTTTTTAAGGATTTTTTTATATATATATTAATATATTAATTAATATATAATATATATATATATATATATATACTGACCTTAAAACCTTCTAACAATAGTGTATAATATTTAAATATGTGAGCCTTCAAGTGTTATTGATGCTTATTAATTCTCTTTTTAGGTTCACAGTAATAACATGTTCTCTCGGGGTGTGAAGATCTTCGCATCCGTGTCCTGTGTCTTTAAGTTGCACCTCATTTCGGAGTGGGAAGCAGAACGGGTGGAGTTTCACACCGTTCTAGACGACCGGAACCCAAGCGCTCGGTATGTGACGGTCCCGTTAAAGCACAGATTGGCTACGGCGCTGTGCTGCCGCTTCTACTTTGCTGACACTTGGATGATGTTCAGCGAGATCTCGTTTCAGTCTGGTATGAAATAAGAACAACTCACCTCTCCCTCCCTCTGGTATTCTCAGTATTACCCCATTAAAATACATCCAGAGCTGTGATATGCTATTCATATTATCATTCCCAATATCTTAATTTCAATTTACACTGTTGTTCAAAAGTTTGTGATCAGTAAGATTTAAAGGGGTCATATGATGCTGCTAAAAAGAACATTATTTTGTGTATTTGGTGTAATGAAATGACTCTTAACTTTTATAAAGAATATCTCTTTGGATTTGAGACTTTAGTCTTTGCAACTTTACAGATCTTCTTTATGCACCAAGAGCTTGTAACACTCCAAAGAGAAAGGAAACATTGAAATCGCATCATATGACCCCTTTAAAAAAAATGGTTATGACAGAAGTCTTATGCTCACCAAAGCTGGATTATTTGATCAAAAATACAGTAAAACAGTCATGTTGTTACAATTTCAAATAAGTATTTTCTATTTGAATGTGTTTTAAATGTAATTAGTTCCTGTGATGCAAAGCTGAATTTTACTCCAGTCTTCAGTGTCGCATGATCCTTCAGAAATCATTCTAATATGCTGCTCAAGAAACATTTCTTATCATTATCAGTGTTTAAAACAGTTGTGCTGTAATTCCTTGATGAATAGAAAGTTTTCTAACAAGATTAATATATGAAATTTTTTTATTTTTGAAGTGAAGTGAAAGTGAAGTGACATGTGGCCAAGTATGGTGACCCATACTCGGAATTAGTGCTCTGCATTTACCCATCCAAAGTGCACACACACAGCAGTGAACACACACAAACCGTGAACACACACCCTGAGCAGTGGACAGCCATTTATGCTGCGGCGCCCGGGGAGCAGTTGGGGGTTCAGTGCCTTGCTCAAGGGCACCTCAGTCGTGGTATTGAAGGTGGGAGAGAGTGCTGTACATTCATTCCCCCCACCTACAATCCCTGCCGGTACGAGACTCGAACCCACAGCCTTTAGGTTATGAGTCCGACTCTCTAACCATTAGGCCACGACTTTTTTGTAACAATAAAAAAGTATTTTCTGCCACTTTTGATTAATTTAATGCGTCCTTGCTAAATAAAAGTATCAATTTCTTTATACATTTGCAAATGCATATGTGACCCTGGACCACAAAACCAGTCATAAGGGTCAATTTTTCAAAATTGAGATTTATACATCATCTGAAAGCTGAATAAATAAGCTTTCCATTGATGTATGGTTTATTAGGATCGGACAATATTTTGTAGAGATACAACTATTTGAAAATCTGGAATCTGAGGGTGCAAAAAAAAAATCTAAATATTGAGAAAATCTCCTTTAAAGTTGTCTAAAATGAAGTTCTTAGCCATGCATATTACTAATCAAAAATTAAGTGTTAATATATTTACGGTAGGAAATTTACAAAATATCTTCATGGAACATGATCTTTACATAATATCCTAATGATTTTTGGCATAAAAGAAAAATCAATCATTTCGACCCATACTATGTATTTTTGGCTATTGCTACAAATATACCCCAGCGACTTAAGACTGCTTTTGTGCTCCAGGGTCACATATGTCCCTTGTAATCTTTAGGTAAAACTAGAGCCCAAAATCATTACTTAGAATTATAAATGCATTTTTAAGTGGGTGTAATTTAAGGTGTAGTAATTTCCTGTGTTTTAATTCTTTTCCACTGCAGCAACTAATGTGCTTCCTACCCAGAGGCCCCCAGTATTGACCCCTCCTTCATATGAGGTTAACAGCAAAGTACCACAAACGACACAAAAAACAGGTAAAGAGTCACTGTTCTGAGAAAACCCAGCATTTTTACAGTCAACATGAAGTCATTTGATACTGCATGCTTTCTTAATTCGTGTTATTCCAAAGAAAATGTAATGTTTGTCTAACCAAAGTCATATAGAGACTGCTTTTCCTGATTCAGTCAGTTCCCGATGAATACAAATGACGGAAATGTGTCACATTATGGAAGTAAAATGGGTTGTGAACACCACATCCTCTTGGCTTTAACTGAAAATGCCTGACTACTGTACTAACTTGTATTACACACTTTGACTGAACTTTAATAACCCATCTGTGTTTGACAGAGGACCAGACGACAGCAAAACCATTAAAACCAGGCCCTTCTGAAGAGGGCAGTACATCGATTCTGATTGGCTGTCTGGTGACTATTATTCTTCTACTAGTGGTGATCATCTTCCTGATTCTGTGGTGCCAATATGTGTGCAAAGTCCTGGAGAAGGTGTGTGTGTGTGTACTGTAATGTTTGTATTAATGAAACAGATTTTAAAGCTTGATATACTTGTAGCATAAAGTACCTTGGTATACCTTACTGAAAGGATGAGCATAGTTGAATTTGAATATGTGACATCTTTGAGAAGTAGTGTCTCTAAAATTTTCCCCTTGAAAGCAAAAAAAAACAAAACACTGGAATATCCACTTTATTTTGCAATGCAGAAGTAAGCTATTTTCAGTGAATGTGCGAGATTTCCATTTAATTAGCTGCTATAGGTAAATAACTAGATGAATAACAAAGTACTATTCGCATTGCTCATCAGTGTTTATGATTATGGCAATACATTAATATAAGACATACCAATTTGCAGCTTTGGCCGCACTGCTCTTAAGTTAAAAAATCGGTAACACTTTAGTTAAAGCATTTATGTATAATACAGTTCAAAGCTATTCATAATGTACGTTGTAATGCATTATATCTTTTCATAAATAGCTGTAAACAAAGTTAAAATGCATTATAATATTTGAAGGTTTGTTTGTCATGTGTTTTAACGCATTATACTTTCTAAAAATGTAACAATGAATAGATAGGTATTGTAATGTTTTATAACTGTGGTTACAAATATTCATGAGATCATCATATAGAGCTATATAAGGTACAAGTCATAGTTAATGCGGTTAAACAATTTTTATAATGCATTTTATGTAAAGGCTTTACGTAAAGTGTAAAACCAAAAAAATATTCTGCAACATGCTGTGTCTTAAGCAACTTTGCAAAACTTAAGCAAACATGCACAAAGCGCACGCATGTGGATTCATGATGAATGAGAGATACACAGTATATGAGCCAAAGTTTATTTGTATAGCACACTTCTCACATGCCAGTAGTTTCAGTTTTGTTTTAACTAGTGTTTTTGTTTTACTTACCGGTATTTTAAATTTTTTCTGAATGTGATTATAAAATGTGGTTTATACATAGATGCAAATGATCTGTGGGTTTCTTCTTGCAACAATGCAATTTTGACCCAGTGTAATTTAAATAGTCTCTCTCTCTCTCTCTCTCTGTCTCAGGCTCCGAGGCGTATTTTGAAGGAGGAGGTGACAGTGCGTTTGTCCTCTAGCAGTGACACTATAATTTTGCAGACTCCCCCGGTGCCCCCGCGCCTCTCCCTCGACCCACCCTATGAGAGGATCTTCCTGCTGGACCCCCAGTATCAGGATCCCGCTGCGCTCAGGAACAAACTTCCCGAGCTGTCGCAAAGTGCAGAAGCTTCTGGTATCATCTATTATATGTCTCAAACCCTGGAGAGCTACCTGACTATTTTTTAAGAATCGTTACAAATTATGTAGCCAGAATAAATATTGCACAATTTAAAACTATTGCCTTAAAGGGATAGTTTACCCAAAAATGATAATTCTGTCATTTACTCACCTTCAAGTTGCTCCAAACCTGTATGAGTTTCTTTCTTCTGTTGAATGCAAAAGAAGATATTTTGAAGAATGTTGGTAACCAAACAGTTGCTGGTAACCATTGACTTCCATAGGATGGAATAAAAATACTATGGAAGTCAATGGCTACCAGCAACTGCAACATTTTTCAAATTATCTTCTTTTATGTTCAACAGAAGAAAATATATATATATATTATTTTATTTTTTTTTAAGATAAAAAAAAAGCATTTGGTAAGTTCACCAAGGCTGCATTTATTTGATCAAAAATATAGTAAAAACAGTAATATTGTAAAATATTATTACAATCTAAAATAAAGATTTTATATTTTAATATATTTTAATTTATACCTTATTCTGCCTTCTTAATATTTTTGTGGAAAAATTCAGGAATTTTTTGATGAATATGAAGTTCAAAAGATCAGTATTTATTTATTTGTAACATTATAAAAGTCTTTGCTATCTCTTTTGATCAATTTAATGCCTCCTTGCAGAATAAGAGTATTAATTTCCTTTTCCGACTTCAAACTGAACTTTAGTGTAAGCACATGTACCTGAAACTGACTCATTTCCATCAGTCTGAGACTGACTATGATTCTAAGATATATTTCTCAGTTGCCTTAGAATGTGGACAAAAATAAAGACAACATCATTTTACTGGCAAATAGAACCGTCTTCACGTCAACCATGAATCCTAACAATGTTGCCCAGGTAGCCTACTAGGTTCTGGACCAGAGCTACTGTGAAGACTTTCAGTACATTACTGAATATCTGAACATGATGTCCTTTCTTAAACTAACCTCTTGTACTATCTTTTAAGAAATATTCTCTCTGAGTTCAATTTTTCATCCTGTTGAACTTGATTTCATTGACATTTGTTTCCTCAACAGTTTGCATGCTGCACTTTTCCATTCTTCCTCCTCTAGTCTTGCATTCTTTATCTTTTGCTTGCAGTCTATGAACTCCACCTGACCTTGTTACCAGACTGAAGGACTTACTTACGTAAGAGCTGCTGCTAGATTTTCCTATGGTAATTTTTGACACTGCGGTTTCTTGCACCCAGACACCTCAGGGTTTTGGTTGAAATAAAATGAAGTTGGCCTGTTCCTCTGTTGTCATCTTCTGCTTTTTCTGTCTCTCTTTCTTCCTCTTTCTCTCAATCTTCATCAACAAAGCGACAAGATTGTCAACATTTCAAATTTTTTTAAAGCATATATAGTACTTAAAGGGGATAATTCGGTCAACATTTACTCACCCTCATGCCGTTCCAAACCTGCATGTTTCTCTTTTGTCTGTGAAACACAAAATCATATGACCCCTTTAAGAAAAACACTGGAAATCTAGAGTGAGAGCCAAGGATTTTATGCAAAAGTGTTACTAATACTTTTTTTAATCTCAGTTGACCCTGATTATTATGTTACTACTGTTTGGTGACACCACGGTGTTGGATAGTAATACCATAGTACTGTGACATACAGTACTGTATGATATACAAAAGTTTTGTTTTGTAAGAGTTTCTTATGCTCACCCAGGCTGAATTTATTTAATAAAAAATACCAAAAAACAGCAATTTTGTGAAATATTATTACAATTTAAAGTAACTGTTTTCTATTTTAACATATTTTAAAATATTTTTTTTTCCTGTGATGCAAAGCTGAATTTTCAGCATAATTACTCCAGTCTTCAGTGTCACACGATTCTTCAGAAATCATTCTAATATGCTGATTTGCTGCTCAAGAAACATCTAATTATTATCAGTGTTGAATATTTTTGTGGAAATCATGATAATTTTTTTGTCAGTGTTCTTTGATGAATAGAAAGTTTGGTATAAAAACAGAAATAAATATGTTGCAACATTATAAATGCCTTTTAATGTCACTTTCAATCAATTTAATGCATCAATGTTAAATAAAAGTATTAATTTCTTTCTTACATACCCCAGACTAGTGTATACGCTGGTACAGTGATTAAAATATTTACATAGTAAGGTATTCATATTGTATGCCAAATAAAAAAATTAAAATAACATGGTAATACCCTAGTACGTTGTGGTATTTTGGTTGTTAGTGGAGCCCATGCATTCTTTCTTACATACCCCAGACTAGTGTATACGCTGGTACAGTGATTAAAATATTTACATAGTAAGGTATTCATATTGTATGCCAAATAAAAAATTTAAATAACATGGTAATACCCTAGTACGTTGTGGTATTTTGGTTGTTAGTGGAGCCCATGCGAGTGTGTTTCCGCTCTCAATCAGTTTAAGTATGTTAACATACTGTTGTTGCTGTTTCCAGGTGCATTTGTGTGAGGCCGAGGGTTTGGCTGAGTTTCTGGGAGAGGATGCACCGTTACCGGAGCAGGACGGCAGGCCGGTGCTAGTAGCAGTTAAACAACTCAGAGCGGATGCCACCAGCAATGCCAGGTTTGAGGGGAAAAAATACACACACCAAAAAAAAAACTGGATTGGAAAGTTGCATCATAGAGTGAGGCTTCTGGGAAGCTCTTGCTAAAAAGTTCGGAAATGGTTATGTAATTGTGTTTTATTTGGTGGGAAGAAAATGGATTGGCTCATGGATTAAAGTGCCCCATTATGGATTTTTTATTCTAAGTGAATGAAAACATCCTTCAAAGTCTTAAATCTGAAAGTGCACCGTGTATAAAGTTATTGTCTCTCAAAAGAAAGTGTCGACTCTGAATCATTGAAACGAGTCGTTTTTAAAACGAATCCCAAGCCGTTTCATGTTGACGTCAACATGAAACATTAGCATATTGTCCACCCACCTGTTGGTCTTTTGGCATTGGTCTGAATGAAAATGCAAATTCATTCTTTGCCACTAGGTGCCGCTTTTGGAGCGGTAAAATAGCGGTTTCCCCGGTAACGCTGTACACAAAGCAGCACTGTGCTCACAAACGCTGCTTTATCAGGCATTACAGGTATGATAAAATGAGACCAATCAGACCAATCACCGCAGATTAGCGTCACGCAAAGGAGGGGTTTGGAAAAATGAATCATTGAGCGAATCGTTTGGGAGCCGTTGAGCAAATAAGGTCAAAATAAATGCATATTATAAGACAATGAAAGTGTTTTTTTGACCTTGCATGCGTGTCAACCTGTTGTTGGGGACTCCCAAAACCAAAATAAGAACCTTTCATAACCCATAATAGGGGCACTTTAAGACAAACAACAGGCAAATGAAATGCAGTGTTTAACATTTTTTTGTTTATAAAGCATTTTTTGTTTTTTCAAAAAAAAAAATCTAATTTTTTTCTAATATATTCAATTATACTTGTTATCACTTCAATTATTTGATCATATATTGACTCCTTATAGACTCCTAATCCTTCATAAAATGTCTAAAATTGTTTATAAATACACAGTTATCATTGGAATTTTTCTGTCAGAAAGTGTTAATCTGTTTACAGCTGGAATTTATTTCTCATTTATTGTTGTCAGTCAATATTTACTGATGGATGTTGACCTGTAACCTTTCTCCTGATCCCATGATAACCTTTCTGACTTTTGTGTCCGTGTAGAAATGACTTCCTGAAGGAGATAAAGATCATGTCTCGTCTGAATAACCCAAACATCATTCAGCTGCTGTGCGTGTGCGTGAGCTCCGACCCGCTCTGCATGGTGACGGAGTACATGGAGAACGGAGACCTCAACATGTTCCTGTCCCAGAGAGAGATAGAGAGCACACTCACACATGCCAACAACATTCCGTCTGTCAGGTGTGTCCATCATTATGAAGAAGTCTGACATGTACAGTCTTTCATCTCCAGACAGGGGTCAATATCGCTATTCTAACATTCTTAACCTGCGAATTCTTCAACTTAACCTTCCAGTTTCAAGTCAGCTCTCAATTTATGATGGAAATGTTTCAGATTACAAGTTTTGAAGTGAGACCTCTGAGTCTTCAAGTCCAACGTGGAAATCATTTCAATGTGTTCTTTTTTGAAAACCTGAATTAAAGAACCTACATTTTTAAAGAAGTACCAGCAATCAGATTTTTTATTTTTTTTTTTACGATCAATTGCTAAACACAAAATGGAGCACAATTTTGCTAAACTTTATGCCGTTTTAAACCTTTATAATTTTCTTTCTTCCTTTCCATATGTTAATATTATTTATATACTATTATAGTATTTATTCATATTTCGCATTTGTTTTTATTTTTTATAATTTTAATTTAGTTTGTTTTAGTAGTTTTGTCATGTTCATTTGTCATTTTAGGTTTTTTATATTTCTATTTAGCTTTAATTTTAGCAATTTTAGCACTTAGTACTTTTTAAGTTTAATGCCAAGGCAACATTTCATATTTTCCTTAGTTTTTACAACTGAATATTTGCATGTTTCTTTTTATGTTTTCATGTAATATTTATTTATTATTTTTGTTTATATATTTCAGCTTTATTTAATTTAACAAAAACAGTCTTTAATAGTTTTGATAATAAAAACCGTTCTACACAGAAGACTCTTAACGGAATATCTGTGCTATTCTTATGAATTAGAATGTTCAAAAGACTTTTCAAATGACTTTTGTGTTGTATTCAAAGCCTTCTGAAGCCAAAATTTAGTTTTATATGAGAAAAAAGATCAAACTTAAGTTAAATTTAAGTAACACTTTACTTAAAGCCTATCTTTATAATGCATTATAAAGGTATTCATAATATACATTGTAATGCATTATATCTCTTCATAAATAATTGCATTTTAAATGCATTCTCAAATTTAAAATGCATTATAATATTTGTAGGTTTTTTGTTTTTCATGTGTTTTAATACATTAAGGCCCGGTTTCACAGACAGGGCTTAGACTAAGCCAGGATTAGGCCATAGTTCAATTAGGACATTTAGATAATTTTTATAAATGTGCTTAGAAAAAAACATTACTGGTGTGCTTTTTGAGACAAAACAAAGGCATTGATATATTTTAAGATCAGTCAGTGCAAGTTTCTTTCAGTTGAAACAGCTCAGACTTACATTTTAGTCTAGGAGTAGGCTTAAGCCTTGTCTGTGAAACTGGGGGTTTTCGTTTTAAAGGTGCAACAATTAATATTTAAGTATTATAATGTATTATAACTGTGGTTGCAATTATTCATAAGATCATACAATGCATTATAATGTGCATTACGAGGCACACTTAATGCATTAAAACTAATTTTATAATACATTATATATAAAGGCTTTTAAGGAAATTTCCATCTCCGTTATAGCTTTCAAGTCTCATTTGTGCTTTCACGCAGTCAGACGTGGTGCTGGTTGAATTTGATACTGGTTTGAAGCCAGGTCATGTTTTGTGTGCCCTTGCTGTTTTATTTTCATAAACTCAGACTCTTTTATTTCTGTCTCTGCAGCATTGCTGACCTGTTGCACATGTCGGTGCAGATCTCTTCTGGGATGAAGTACCTGGCTTCTCTGAATTTTGTGCATCGTGATCTAGCCACACGGAACTGCCTCCTGGACCGTCATCTCACCATAAAGATCTCTGATTTCGGCATGAGCAGAAACTTGTACAGTAGTGATTATTATCGTATACAGGGGCGCGCTGTGCTGCCTATACGCTGGATGGCCTGGGAGAGCATCTTACTGGTGAGAGAAAGAGAGGCTGTAAATGCTGTTCTTTTGAACTTTCTTTTCATCAAAGATTCATGTGTAAGAAATGCATCTCAGTTTCCACAAAAATAATAAGCAGCACAACTGTTTTCAACATTGATTAATAATAATAAATGTTTCTTGAGCAGCAAATCAGCATATTGGAATGATTTCTGAAGGATCATGTGACACTGAAGACTGGAGTAATGATGCTGAAAATTCAGCTTTGCATCGCAAGAATAAATTACATTTAAAATATATTCAAATAGAAAACCATTATTTTAAATTGTAGTAATATTTCACAATTTTACTGTATTTTTTCAATTGAATGGAGCCTAGGTGAGCTGAAGAAACTTCTTTAAAAAAATGACAATTAACTGTTAGGTGGAGACATCTGTCTACAGTGGCTTTCTTCCTTTGTATCAGTGCATTGTGTGTTACATGTGTGTGTTTTTTAGGGGAAGTTCACAACAGCTAGTGATGTGTGGGCATTTGGAGTAACTCTGTGGGAGATCTTCACTTTATGTAAGGAGCAGCCCTACAGCCTGCTGTCTGATGAACAGGTCATCGAGAACACCGGCGAATTCTTCCGAAACCAGGGGAGACAGGTACAACTTTACTTTGATTTTGGTTTTGATTTGAAGTGAGTGAATTATACTTTTCATCTGGTGAAGTTAGTCCTTTGATAAAGTCAGTTAATCTGAAGTTAAGTGAATCGTTCCGAGGTGAAGCAACTCGGCCTGAAGTGAATTGAACTGCATTGGAGTGAATCCGTTTGCAGCATCATTCTGAAGTGAAATTAGTGGGGTTCCTGTGGTCTTAAAAGCCTTAAATTCAGTTTGATCAAATTTAAGGTCATAAAAAATATTTAATACCTTAAATGTCACTTTATTTTGTGGACAGAACTAAACTAGAATCGCAGTATGGCCTAATGTGATTTTTAAACTTAAAAAGGCTGATTTAAATAATAAATGTGATGAGCAGCTGCCAGCTGGAAGTAAAGCATAGACATTTCAAAATAAGAGTCCTAGAGCATTTTGGTACAGTTTGCAATTAAAAGTCCCACATTATGCATAAAATCTTGGTAACACTTAAAGGCACAATATGTAATTTTTCGCCACTAGAAAGCGCGTATTCAAAATAAACAAAGAATCAAAGGCGTAGTTTGATGACGCCGTGACTGGGTGTGGAATCATGGGAGTTGTAGTCTTCATCCCCACAGCCGATGCAATCCGACGGGACTCGGGCAGAAATCATGTTCATGGATGAGCTAATGATTTATTAATGTAGTAGAATGAAGCAGGGTGAGGCTGAAAGCCTTCGAAGTGAAACGAGGCGCTGAACGAGCGCGACTCACGGCTGGAAAGTAGCGGAGCTTTTATTATGCCACAGTCGAGCGCTTCCGCTCCTTCCAGTCGTGCGTATGTGGGGTAAAGCAGCTCTGTTTTATCATACTAGATACATTTGAAAATTCTGTTATAATGCTACTCTGTGCGTTCGTCACCTGTCTAATAAAACGCATAGCATATTAAAGCATCTTTGGTGTTTGGTGAAATCGAGGGGTTATGACGTCATTGGCAGGCGACACAATGACACTATAGACACGCTCCGTGTCACTAGTTAAAATTGCTTATTTCTCTGGATTTAAACATTCTTCAAAACATTTGGGATAATGTAAGTACACAATTCAGCAAAATATATAACACTGTTCTAGTAGTTTTTGGATATTTTAATTTTAAAAATCTTACATATTGTGCCTTTAAGTATAGGGACCAATTCTCACTATTAACTAGGTGCTTATTAGCATACCTGTTATTAACATATTGGCTGTTTATTAGTACTTATAAAGCACATATGTGACCCTGGACCACAAAACCAATCTTAAGTAGCACGGGTATGTTTGTAGCAATAGCCAAAAATACATTGTATGGGTGAAAATTATCGATTTTTCTTTTATGCCAAAAATCATTAGAAGTTAGAGTAACTATCATGTGCCATTAAGATATTTTGTAAATTTCCTACTGTAAATATATAAAAACTTCATTTTTGATCAGTAATATGCATTGCTAAGAACTTCATTTGGATAACTTTAAAGGCGATTTTCTCAATATTTAGATTTTTTTGCACCCTCAGATTCCAGATTTCCAAATAGTTGTATCTCAGCCAAATGTTGTCCGATCCTAACAAGCCATACATCAATGGAAAGCTTATTTATTAAAAAAAAAGTCACTTAAGACTGGTTTCGTGGTCCAGGGTCACATATTCTAACCCTATATTCTACATCTCTACTTCCTCCCAATACCTAAACTTAACTACTTTACTAACTATTAATAAGCAGCAAATTCTGCGTTTATTTTCCATAATACAGAATAAACTATATCTGCATGTAATTCATTGTATACTCTTGAAGCTTCTCTCTGGGCCGCTTAATTGCTATTATTATTAAGTAAAATAGTTTGCGATAAATGATTTATTCTGGAATTAAACGGATTTGTTCTATATGGACATATGGTATTAATTTAATTTGGTCTTAAAAAGGAAAAGTGAAATTAAGTGAATTAGTCTAAATTAATGTGAATTGAACTGAAGTGAGGTCCAAAGTAAAGTGATTCATTTTTTTCAGGTAAACTCTGAGACTGATTGAGTTCACAGTCACAGGACGCAAACCTTTACATGAACTGTAACATCATTTACATGGATGTTTTATTTAAAAGACTTCTACATATTTTGCCCTCTCTTTCTCCCTAGATCTTTCTCTCCGCCCCACCACTCTGTCCATCCTCTCTGTTCGAGCTGATGATGCGTTGCTGGAGTCGTGACATCGCAGACCGGACCACTTTTCACAGATTGTATCAGGCCCTGCGAACTTTTGCGCCCCACTCATGACCGACACCTGCTCTACTGTATTAACCTGGAGGAAAACTGATATACAAGTCTTCTGACTGCTCGCCAGTCGCTGAGGTAGAGCAGGAACATTATAGCCACAATGTAGCGCCATTAGAGCGGTAGACATCCAATGGAGGAGAGATCTAGAGATGATGAGATTTCACAAAAGGCATTCATTCATTTATCCACTCACATATTCATCTCCTTTGGGACTTTTTTCCCAATCCATAGACACTTGAGATTTTTTTTTTTTTGACTTCGTTGTTGTTCTTTCCCTTTTTTCTTTATCATATATGTTATTTCTGTTTTTTTTTTTTCATTTTCCAACAGTGACTCTTGAGCCTACTGTATATTCTAGGCAGAAAGAACCAACTGGACGAATGTTGTGTTTGTCAAAACTGTGGTTGCGTATCGTTAAGCACTGCTGTCTTTGGTTTTTATTTAGTTTTTGATCCTTATTTACCCCCACACTGGAGTTACTGTGTCTTATGATAGTAAGTGTTGTTTTGCTCTCTAAATATGAATGTTTTTACAGGTTCTTTGGATATAGCCGGGTCAGAGACTTGCTCTGCCTGGATCTAGCAGAACTACTGTTATAGTTAGATTAAAAACCCTTTCGGAGGAGAAGGGAGAGGGTTATAGAGCCAACAATGGACTGACGTGCAATTGAATGCACTGTTTCTTCCCCTAACTTCTAACAGGCCACTTTAAAGTCAGCAATCAGAACAGACCAATGGACCATGATTCATCCGTGCATGTTTCCAAAGAAGACAATGTTCGTTATTGTAGTGTTTCATCAAAATGTAATAGCTTGGTTCTTGGTTAATGTTTAAAAAAATAAGGAGCATTTCCATTGGGATGCGTCAAGATGTTCTTGGGGTGAATTTTACCTTCAGCCTCCAAATGCAGATGTCCAATTAAAGAAGTAAAATGGGTTGTTAATGCCATTTCATGTTGGCTTTAAAGGAATAGTTCATCCAAAAATGAAAATTTGATGAACATTTACTCACCGTCAGAATGAAAGTCCAAACATCTGATTAAAAACATCACAATAATCCACAGAAAAAAAGCAATATTATGGATAGAGGACTCGTATTTTAGCCTGAAGCATCAATTTAAGTTAAAAACACTTTATTGATGGATTAGTTGTTGTTGTTTTTTTTACAAAAAATGCAGCTTTTTGCTTCACAACATGTTAATTGATGGACTGGAGTGGTGTGGATTACTTGTGGGTTGTTGTGATGTTTTTATCAGCTGTTTGGACTCTCATTCTGACGGCACCCATTCACTGCAGAGGATCCGTTGGTGAGCAAGTGATTGCTAAATTGACCTAAATCTGTTTTTATGAAGAAACACACTCGTCTACATCTTGGAGGGTCTGAGAGTGAGTACATTTCCAGCAAACTTTCATTTTTGGGTGAACTGTTCCTTTAAAATCCAGCAAAAACCAGCAATATTTCACCACCACAGACAAACAAAGTGAATTTCAACTCAGTTGCAAAGGAAAACACTAGACTTCCTTGTTATTTGCATACAGTTCTACAATTGCATTGTTGTTTTATCTAAATGAACTAAGTCTGGCTGAAGACATACAGGACCAATTATATCTCTATTTTATCTCTGTAGAAGGCACATGATTATGGGGGAATATGTATGTAAGTTTAAAATTTTTCAAAGCACATTTTTCTTTCTTTCTTTTAATCCACTTTAATGTTTTATTAATGCCATTTAATGTTTTTAGCAAATGTTTGTGAATGAGTGTTGCGCCAAAAACACACATTTGGTGTACTATGATGTAACCAAGATCTGATATTTCCATCTTTTTTCATCAGTGTGTACTAGTTTCTTCATTCCTTTTCTGTAGTTTTTGTTTACTGTATTTCAGAAATTGTCTTCAAATGTACAGGAGAAGTTTTATTGTTTGGCTGCTGAAAGGTTTGGCTATGCAGGACGTTTTGAAGCGTCCTCCAATAGCACTGGGATTTCGATTGAATGTTGGTGGTAGGAAAGCTTAGGAGAAGGGCAACCACTAAAACGCAATCTCCCAGAAGCCTTTGCTGAAGTGAGCCTGAGGCAATTTCTGTTATTACTGATCAGAGTTTGCTTTTCACTACATATTTAGAGACCAAGGGTGCATGTCCGTGTGAATGCGTGATACTGCGAGTGTGGTTTTGTTTCAAGTGAAATTAAATGTACCTTCTTTTATCATTTAGTATTCAATAACTGTCTTTCATTCAAACCTTTTTACTCTCTGTATGTGTCCTCCATGTACATTACATAAGCAGAGTAGATACTGTATGTATAGTAATATATTGGGGACTAAGGAAGACTTGTTTTCTTTCATCTTCTTTCTTATTTTCCATAATAAATACAGATTTTGCTGTATCTCCGGTGTTAATGTGTTGTACTTATACTGAATATTATTTTATTTTTTTCTACATATGAGTAGTGCATATATTGTGTGTGTGTGTGTGTGTTTAAAATCCAGCAAAAACCAGCAATATTTCACCACCACAGACAAACAAAGTGAATTTCAACTCAGTTGCAAAGGAAAACACTAGACTTCCTTGTTATTTGCATACAGTTCTACAATTGCATTGTTGTTTTATCTAAATGAACTAAGTCTGGCTGAAGACATACAGGACCAATTATATCTCTATTTTATCTCTGTAGAAGGCACATGATTATGGGGGAATATGTATGTAAGTTTAAAATTTTTCAAAGCACATTTTTCTTTCTTTCTTTTAATCCACTTTAATGTTTTATTAATGCCATTTAATGTTTTTAGCAAATGTTTGTGAATGAGTGTTGCGCCAAAAACACACATTTGGTGTACTATGATGTAACCAAGATCTGATATTTCCATCTTTTTTCATCAGTGTGTACTAGTTTCTTCATTCCTTTTCTGTAGTTTTTGTTTACTGTATTTCAGAAATTGTCTTCAAATGTACAGGAGAAGTTTTATTGTTTGGCTGCTGAAAGGTTTGGCTATGCAGGACGTTTTGAAGCGTCCTCCAATAGCACTGGGATTTCGATTGAATGTTGGTGGTAGGAAAGCTTAGGAGAAGGGCAACCACTAAAACGCAATCTCCCAGAAGCCTTTGCTGAAGTGAGCCTGAGGCAATTTCTGTTATTACTGATCAGAGTTTGCTTTTCACTACATATTTAGAGACCAAGGGTGCATGTCCGTGTGAATGCGTGATACTGCGAGTGTGGTTTTGTTTCAAGTGAAATTAAATGTACCTTCTTTTATCATTTAGTATTCAATAACTGTCTTTCATTCAAACCTTTTTACTCTCTGTATGTGTCCTCCATGTACATTACATAAGCAGAGTAGATACTGTATGTATAGTAATATATTGGGGACTAAGGAAGACTTGTTTTCTTTCATCTTCTTTCTTATTTTCCATAATAAATACAGATTTTGCTGTATCTCCGGTGTTAATGTGTTGTACTTATACTGAATATTATTTTATTTTTTTCTACATATGAGTAGTGCATATATTGTGTGTGTGTGTGTGTGTGTGTGTGTGTGTGTGTGTGTATGTATGTATATATATATATATATAATTTTTTGTTTGGTTGTTTTTTGCTACCACCAATCTTACATTGAATGTTTGACTTTGGTTTGGCTGTGGACTCAGTCACTGAATCCAAAGGAATAGATGATGTATTACTTTGTGTGTTGGGCTCTAAAAGTATTGAAAACCTTCTCTCATGGTCTTAAAACCAAGGTCATGGTTCTTTAAACATGTACAATGGTACAGTCATGATATTGTGAAATACGGTATTGTTGTAAATGGCAGGCTGTATTTCATAGCACAGGAGCCTGTTATAAAACTACTGATAAAAACTGGTCATATCATGGTTATTAGGTTATACACATGCACCATGGTATCCTTGGAGTACCATACAAATGTATTTACGTGCATCGTATTACCATGTACCTACTGCAGTGTTTCTGTCAGTCATGACCAAACGTAATTCATATAATCGAAATGCACATATATAATCACGTAACCACTCTTAAACTCAATATGTGAGAAGAGCGCGAGACTCATTGTGTGAGTGTATATACACATCACACATGAGCGCGAGCAGCTCTGCTGTTACTAGAGAGAGTCCTGCAGCGTCACGTGATCGTCAGTCAGGAAAAGAAGGAAGAAAGAAGGGTGGAAAACTGTCCAATAACACGCTCAAAAGGCAGGTTAAACATCGATATAATCTCAAAATGACGTTCTAGATCTCTTAAAACTTTCTCTTAGTGAGTTTCTCTATCTTTGTAACACGGCTTTAGCAGTTATTATACGCTAGAAGCAAGGCTGCATTTGATGGTTTAATCTCAAGCAAACCACTCGAGCTGTGAGTCGAGAATGACTGTATTATTAAGACACGTTGACTTTTCTCCGCGAGTTGTGCTTATTATGCATGAGTTTCGTACTTTACGGGTATACATGAGATTGATAATGTTTTAATTAGCTTTTAACACCTTCTTGTACGTTGTTAAAGCATATTTATGTGCTACAGATCTATCTGACTGCATGTATCCGCAGCATTCTGACGCTCACTTGAAATGTAACGTTAGTGTAAATATGTTTTTTAATGTTTATTTTTGAACGCACGTTGGGATAAAACTGCTGTCTGGATCACTAAAACTTTTGCAAGTAGACTCTATTGGCTGGTTGGGTCACTAACACTGTGTTTTTACTGTGACAGTACCACGGAGCAGTATCATGTATCATGGTGTTTACAAAAAAACTTGAAACGGTTTCCAAGAACAGCATTTTTAATGTCACTAAACGTGTTTAAAACGTTGATACTACCATGGTGCTTATTGGTTACTTTTTTTGTACTTGCAAATTAAAGATAAAAAAAAAGCAGTGATCGGATATCAAAGGCTAATACTGTGGTTCTTTGATATGCTACTGTATCATGACATTTAGATGCAAGATTATGTGGTACTACCAGAAAATACCATGGTAAAGTGATAGTATTAGATGGCAATACCATAGTATCTTTTCATGCTTCTCACAGCATGAACAGAATATCAAGGAATTTTAAAATAAGAGGCTTGGAAGAGTCACTAATATATATTTTATATGAATATGATGTTTTATCAGAATCAGAAAAGGGCTTTACTGCCAGTTGTGTTAACTTTACACACACAAAGACAATGTCTTGGTGACAGGAGCTTCCAGTGCAAAGAAAAAGTACAGACATGCATAATAATAACGCTAATAATAAAGATTTGTATTATTTTAACTTTTTTTAATCAAATATCTGTCACATGGCTTTGACGCTATGTCTGATTCATGTGTAGTTTAGTCACTTCCACAGACTTTTATTTATGCCACTTGTTTTAAGAAAGAGGAATTTGTGTGTTTTAAACCAGGTCAGATGTGTGAAGTAGGATGTTCCGATATATATGACACCTCAGTCATTGACTTCACTCTATTTTTTAGATCAGAAATGGGATGGAGAAGTTCGGCAAGTGCTGGTGTTTTGATTGACTGTTGGAAGCAGGCCACACGTGAAGGGTTCAGAGAAGAGCTTTGAAAGAAAGGTGACTTTACATCTAGACTACGGTTTGAAAGTTTGGGGTTGGTAAGATATATATATATTTTTGTAAGAAATTAATACTTGTATATAAGTGACTTATTTATGTATTTGTTCAGAAATGGCATGTTTTTTATTCAATAAGAGGAATCGTCATTGTAAAATCAAACAGCCTTTGTAGGCAAATAGAGTCAAGATGTTGTAGGAAGTAAAACACAATAAAATCAATTTAAAAAAATTTTTTTTAATTTTTTTACCCGCATATATTTTTACTAAAGCGTTTTAGTACATGAAGTACATTGCATTTCCTTTAACGCTGTTAAGTGTTGACCTAAAATTATTTTTGAACCAGTTTTGTATTGATTCATTGGAACTCACATTTTGACCTGATGTTAACTCTTTATGCAAATTTTGACACTCAAGTTTAATTCAGAGATGTTATGAAAACATCTTTGTAATATTCTCATATTCACAAGTTGAGGAAGGATTGCAAAATGAATCTAATGACAGCCTTTAAGAAATGTAATCGTCAAATAAAAATGTTTTAAAATCGTATCTTATAATTACAACATTGAATAGCATCATACATTGTCTGATAACTGATAGTTATCTGAGGGAGAATGTGAGCACTGTGTGCTTAGGCGCTGCCGTTCTCAGCGCCGTCAAAATAAAAGTCCCGCCTCGAACGCATCGGCTAAACAGGAAAACCTGTCAGCCGATGCCGATATTTAAAAAATGCCAAATATCGGCCGATATATCGGCCTTGGCGATATATCGGTCGACCACTATTTGTGTTAAATCAATATTATTAAAGTAAAATATTATCAGTATATCTCTAATATTTGCTGTAAATGTATTTCCGGTGTCATCTTTATTGATTTCTGTTTCAGAGACCATTATGAAGTTGAATGAGAGGAGCGTGGCACATTATGCCACATGCAACTCTCCTCCAGACAAGACAGGCGTCCTCTTTAAGAAAGGGGAACGGAACACGGCGTACCACCGCCGCTGGTTTATTCTGAAGGGCAACATGCTGTTCTACTTCGAGGAGAGGGACAGCCGAGAGCCGATTGGCGTCATCGTCCTGGAAGGCTGCACGGTGGAGCTCTGCGAGTCGGAATCCGAAGAGTTCGCCTTCGCCATTAAATTCGATTGCGTCAAAGCGAGGGTCTACAAGATGGCCGCGGAGAACCAGGCCACTATGGAATCGTGGGTCAAGGCTCTGTCCCGGGCGAGTTTCGACTACATGCGGCTGGTCGTGAAGGAGCTGGAGAGGCAGCTGGAGGAGGTACAAGAAGAAGCCAGATCTTCACAAGCCAAAAGCAAGCCGAAGAAGCACCAGACGCAAGTGCAAGGAGCAACAAGCTTCCAACCCGCAACCTTTTCGCTACAGAATGCCGCCATTACGGGGCCTTCGCAGGAAGGGATGTCTAGCAGAGAAAATGGGGTTTCTTGGAGTAAACCCACCAGCGTGCCAAACGGTGTCAGCGAGGGCTGCGTCTGGGAAGGGGACTGCGGGAGGGGGGATGGAGTCAAACCACCTCCGGTACCTCCGCGGAGGAAGACCAACGGCGGGTCACTCGAGAGCCCTGTTTCACCCGGCACAGGCTGCTTCTCCAAACTACACGACTGGTACGGCAAAGAGGTGGCTGAACTGAGAATAGAATGGCTGCAGAGCCAGTGAATGAAATCCACAAGAGACTCGAAATATACATCCGCACACAAGACATGCTTAGTGCAATCTCGGTTAAAGGCATAATAGGTCAAATTCATCTAAAAACAAAGAGAGCATTAGAATGATAATCACTCGTCCACTGTTACTGATGTTTTTTATTTCATTAAACAAGACCAAGCCATTTTTTAAAGGAACATTCTGTCATTGTTTATTCACCCTCATGTCTTTCCAAACCTCTCTAGAAAATCTAGTTTAAAAGTTTTTAAATACAGGAGGGTACAATAAATGTTTTATCAACTGTATGCACCAATGTGACAAAGTAAACGGCAATAGTAAATAGTGCAACAGCAATAGTGCAATATTTTTCATTGTTTTAAAAACCTGAAAGTATGCTGAAAATGTACTCCCCTCATTCCATCTAAGATGAAGATGAGTTTGTTTCTTCATCAGAGCAGATTTGGAGAAATGTAGCATTACATCACATGCTCACCAGTGGATCCTCTGCAGTGAATGGGTGCCGTCAGAATGAGAGTCCAAACAGCTGATAAAACATCACAATAATCCACACTAACATCTTGCGAAGCTTAAAGTTTGTAAGCCTGTTTGTAAGAAACAAAAAATCCAAATAATAATCCATAATAGCCTACGATGCATTGTTTTGGATTGTTTTCGCTTGTAAATGGTGCTTAATCTGTGCATATTTCTCTCCTGATTCAGACTAGATGAATTTTACTTGTGGATTATTGTGATGTTTTTATCAGCTGTTTGGACTCTCATTCTGACGGCACCCATTCACTGCAGAGGATCCATTGCTGAGCAAGTGATGGAATGCTAAATTTTTCCAAATCAGTTTGCGCGAACAAACATTTGCATCTTGGATGGCCTGAGGGTGAGTAATTTTTAAGCAAGTTTTCATTTTGAGTTCAACCATTCCTTCAATACAATGAAAAACATTGCATTTCCTTGAACTTTGTTGTGAGTTGACCTAAATGAATCTTTGAATCAGTTTTGAATCGATTCATTAGAACACACAGTTTGAACTAATGCACAAAAATGAATTTTACAATCTTTATGCTATGTTTGCTACTTAATTTAATTAAGACATGCTCTTAAAATAATCTTAACATTCCTGTACTTAGCCGTTTGTGAGACAAGGAAGGTTTGAAAAACAAATCTAATGATGATGTGTGCAAGTCTTACAAACCGATATAATAGCTCTGTGTTAGGAAAAGCCTGACATTTGTGTTTTTGCATGTTTCTCAAGGTTTGACGTTATAATGTCAAACATTGCTTCTCACATCTCGTTGACATTAAAACTTGCATCATGTGTCTTGATGCACGTTGATGCGAGATTTTAAGTGAAAAATACAAATTTTGGCACACAAAGATTTATGACTTTACAATACTCAGATTTGGTGCATAGGTTGTATGGACTAGATTTATGGTGCTTTTAAGTTATTTTTGGAGCTTGACAGTCCCAGTCCCCATTGTAAAAAAAGAGCATTCTGGATGTTCAGCCAAACTACTTCTTTTGTGTTCGTTGAAGCAAGAAAGTGATGCTGGTTTGGAACGACATGAGAATGAGTAAATGATGATGCCGTTTTCTTTTTTTGGATGAACTATTCCTATAAATTCTCGCACTTAGATCCATTTTGGGATTTTCCTAGAACCTCATGTTGAAGTGACTTGACATTTCCTTCTCATTTGTATTTTTTTTTTTTTTTTTGAGGTCTCTTACTTGCATAACAACATGAATTTCCTTTTTCACAATGTTTGTCTTGATAAAAAAAGACCTGATTTTCAGATTCACAGACACTTGAATGTTAAGTATTACGGTGCCAAAGCTGGTCTATGGCAATTTGTAATCATTTTATAATATAAAGTAGCAAAAAAAAAAATTGCTTAACAGCACAAAAAGTTAGATGTATCCCAAGATTTTTGGCAGTGAATTTAATGCTGCATTTTACGAGATCTACAATCCAACCTGCCAAAAACATAATTGCCTAAATGATTTCTAACTTTAAAGTATGTAAAAGTGTCTCAGACAATGGACTTGTTTAACTAACCAGCTAGCATGTAATCTTCTGTTGATGGATCTTTTTTCTAAGCAGCTCTAAACCACGAGTATTCTATTTTAGGTTAAGCTTTGCTATGCTTAATGATATATTATCATTCTTGCCAATAGGCGTGTTAATGCTTTGCCTTGCCTTTTAAAATGACCAATTATAGTCATCATCATACTGTGACCAACATTTAATACGTTATAGAATATATACAGACAGCTTATTAATGGCTTTTGTAAATGCATTTTAATGGTACAAATTGTGTGCAATCCTATAATCATATTTGGGGAGATTTAACCTATAGTGACGCTAAATGGGATACGTGGCTGTCCAACCGCAGTGTCTTCAGATTTCATCTAAAACATTGTGTTAGATTCCACAACGCAGATAGGAAAACACCAGCAAATAAGAGATGAATTTGGATAAACAGCTTGTGTATTAACCAGGTACTGATAGTAAAATGACAACAACCGCAATAAAGTTAACTTGTTGCTGAATAATGTTGTATTGCAATAACCAAATCTGAATGTTTGGTCAAAACGGCCTTTGAAAATCACATTGCGTAGAATATTACATTTGAAGGAATTAAGAATGTACGTTTAATGTTTTCAAATGAGTCGAATAAAGATGAGCATCCTCATAAAATATTTATAGCGTTTTGTTTTTTAATAAAAACGTGAAGTCCCACAGTCTCACCACAAGATGGCTCAGCATTACTGTGCATAAAGGTTCATGCACAGATCCTGTCATTGCATTAGTTAGACATCTCCATGTAATTCATTTAATTTTGTATTTTATTTTTTTGTATGGAGAAGCATTATTTGATGGATGGTTTCTGAAACCCACTGTAGTCAGATTTCCTGTACATTTCTTTAATATGTTGTGATGTGCATCATAAAAAAATTGAACATTATGCTCTTCATGACCTTTTTACAAGGACATGAATGTAAACATTAAGTTTTGAGTGGATTGTACAACTGTGGAGTATTTATTTCTACGTTGAAGATTTCATACATTTTCATACAATTGTATACTATCTCACAGCTAGCAACACGCTTTTAATGGACATCATACATTTGACGACGGAAACTTCTAAATCTATCACGTGAAGCCACAAAGTAAGCACTGAACTTAAAGCTGTTTTTAAAATAAAAGTCCCAAAGCGCTACATTAAATTGAAATACGTCAAATAGTCAAAGTAGCGTCCGATTATGTTAAATGCTATGCTTCCGACTATTGTAAACATTTATTTTTTACAATTATTATGCGTGCAATTTGTATGAGCTATTAGTAACTGACTGACTTTTCACATTTTAGTGAACGGCGCAAAAAAAAAAAGTAATCTATATGTTATATATATATATGATTACACTATTTTCTGTTGTGAAATATTACGTATATCATAGATAGAGATAATAATAATAATAATTAAGAAGGTTACAGACGCCACACGGCTGACTTCTCACACTAAATGGGACTTTTATTTTGCCGGAAGCTCAGATGTCTCGGAACGTCAAGGATAGTTCGTCGCTTGTTGTCGCCGTGTCCATGGAAAGTTTGTGGGGTTTTTTTTTTCCTTCTTGAAAGTTTACGCAGGGCTGTTGTTGCGCGCA